TTGTGCTATTTCTGATCTTTCCGTTTCCTTGCTTCTGTCAGGTCTTTGGTGTTTTCTAATCCATGCCCCGTTTTTTTAATCACTATAACTATGTGATTGGCTTCGCGCTACCGTATCTGGTACCCCATCCTTGTATAGAGTAACGAGAAAGCAAGTCAGGCAGGTCCTTGTTTAGAAGAGATAAAGTTACGGGCAAGGATTCAGTTTAGGAAAACACAGACAATGGCGCTGTGGTGTTGCGGTGTTTGCTCACACAAGGTCACAAGGGGCAACAGCGGCACCAGGGAAGTGGTGGATGTACTCAGTCTAGGGCGTTTCCGGCATAAAATACTCTTGTGTACTTTTAATTCCACGTTCTGATTGGTTCAGCAGAGAGCCTCGATGCGGTGACAATGTTCGCTTAGTCCCAGTGGGACGGTGCCGCCACCGAGAATTCCATTTCTTTTTGTCAGAACTCCATTTCTGTTGTCCGTAATTACGTTCCTCATTATTCATTCTTTAGTTACGCTAAGACTGGAAATTGTGGGCTGTTTCTTGTAAAATGATTCATCTTATTCTGTTCGTGCTCGTCTTCCAGCCATCACGCTAATTTATCTTAAATTCGTCCCATACTATGCTCCCCTCGTTCTAGTCATTTTTTACTACACCATCTCCAAATTATCTCAAATTTTCCCCCACCTATTTGCCTCACATCTCACATCAAAACTTTACCTACTTCTACTGTCATTCAATTATCTTGCCCTCTTTCATCAACAGTGCCTCTGGTGTCGTCTATAGTGGCTACGAGCTAGCCACTGGTCGGTTGGTGGCTATCAAGCAGATGAACCTTGCTCAGCAGCCAAAAAAAGATCTGATAATCAATGAGATTCTTGTGATGAAGGCCAATCGGCAAGCGAACATCGTCAACTACCTTGACAGCTATTTAGTATCTACAGCCGCGGCTCTAGAACACGTTCAGAACCAACCTTCTCCGGTAAGTGCAGCAATTATCCAGCCAATGCCCGCCACGACTACTATCGCTACAGGATTGGAAACAACAGAACGACAGCAAGCACAGATATCAAATGGGAGCTTATCTTCTCAAAATCATCAGGTTGTTCTTCACAAAAGCACTTTTTCAATATCTCGTTTTAGCTTTTCTTTAATACACATCTTCTCCACATAAAAACTTTATCGCTCGGAACTGTCATTTCTTTAGTTACCTATCTATCTTGTGGCATTTTACCATGCTTAGAATATCTTGCTGTTCACTGGGTTTTGCCCGCTTCCGCTTTTTACGAACAAATAATGCTACTTCGAGCCTACTTCGGCTTCATTATTATT